AGGCCGTGTCAATCTAGGCGTTGGTCGATGACTGTCGCAAAAAACGCCTGGATGGTAGGCAATGTTTTCCTGAATCGGGCCCCCGCGGCCCCCTGTCCCTCCGAGCGCTTGGACAAGGCTAGACAAGGCGAGAGCTTCGGAGAGGCATTTATATCTTTCGTTTTTGCTTTAATTCTTTGCGCTGTTTACTTCTGGTTGATATTCTGGCATTGGCGGAAGTAATGAATTTGTCTGTAGAAGGTTCAGTTTAAGCTGACTCGGGCACTGTCGGCTGTAGCTACAATCATGGAGCTACAAACAGGGATGTATTAACAGCGTAGCTAGATTTGTTAAAATATTTTTGTAAAAGAAGGGAAAAGCTCATCGTATGTTCTTCCCCCCGTGCGGAACCTCGCCCTGCGCGGCGCGCAGCTCGTCGACGTCGAGGACAACGTGGCGGACGAGCCGGATGGCGACGACGACGCGGGGTCCTCGGCGCAGCAAGAGACGCTCTTCCAGGACGCCGATCATCTCCCGGGGCCCGACGCTGCCCAGCAGCCCGGGAAGCCGGCCACCCCACTGATGAAGCTCCGCGGCGTGTAAGTTGTTCTTCAGTCAAACAAATTTCTTTTAAGATGACAAAAAACGTTGGCGTTATTATTGGTCAGGCAGTAGCAGATGATCCCTCTCCTCTTGCAGGAATGCCTGCCCGGTGAAGGAGGAGGTCGTGGCCCCCTTCTGGGCCAACAACACGCGCGGGGAAGTCCTGGCCCTGCTCAACCTGTACCCCTTCGAGCAGTACGTTCACTGGGAGAAGTGCACGTGAGTACAAATGCGGTGGTGACAGTGTGTATTTATCGAGACCTTAGCGTGTAGACTCCGCCGCCCGCCTGAAGTTGACTTGACGTCGTTGACATTCTCTGTGTCCCACTGTCGTTGCAGCCACGAGCACAAGCAGATGTTCTGCCGCGAAGGGTGTCGCTGCGAGCAGCAGTACCGACTGCACCGCCTACTCGCCTATGATCCCAACAACGAGTGCCGGGGCATTTTCTCGGACTGGTTCAAGTTTCCGTCGTGCTGCATCTGCCGGTGCTACGACCTCCCAGCCGAGTTCCGCTTCACGTCCAGGAGCCCCCGCACCCCAGTGCTGCGAGCGCCGTCCCCAAGCCGCCCCAGACCTCCGGCCAAGGACTGGTACCGCCTCCAGGCCAGTGGTGGTGCCGGTTAGAGCCTCAGGGTCTGCACCGACACCAAACACGAAGTGGACCAGATTTTCCGAGGAGGCCTAGCTGTGGCCAATCTCGTACTCTGTCGCTGAGCCTGCGCGTTTCTAGACCGCACTATACGGAGCACCCGGAGGATCACAAGAACTTTATCCTGAGAGAAGCGGCTGCGACAAACATTCAGTGATGTCATAAAGCTGACAATGGAAATATTGAGTACACGCAACTCAAGAGCTCTAAATGCCACATAACTGTGCCATTCACAGAGATTTGAGAAACCAGACAAATCCTAGATTTAGCAGATTGACATTGTCATGTATAGACTAGACAATTAGTTTTGTATTCAGATATTAGACTGAACTTTAAATAGGTTAAGATAGCTCAGCGAGCTAAGTGATAATAGTCGACTATAAGATGTGTGAAATTATTCACAAAAAATAATGCAAATTTGTCTGCAGAAATTTAAGTATCAGTTTATTTGGATTTTGAAAATGAGCTGACTAATTGGTCAACGAGCCTCTACCTACCTGCTGTTTTCATATATGAGCCCCATTAATTTTCAGATAATTGAAACACAGCAAGTTCAATGTTGTTTTTTTCAATCATAACAAAGCGATTGAGCATCTTGAATAGAAGGAATTTATTTTACTTAAAAATCAAACAGGACATCTGTTCCAATAAAATCAACACTTTCAGCCTTCATCCCTTCTTTGTGTGCAAATAAAATTACTGTGCCATCTTCAAAGGTCAGCATACTTTAACATCAGATCCATGAGTTTTTTTGTGAACAAAATTCTAAGATCTACATTAATAGAATGCAGAACTTTAAGAGAATGTATTTCACATTTTGTTATTGTTATTTATTTATTTACTTGTGTATGAACTTATTTATTTATGTACAGAACATTCTGAAAAGTACAAGTCCTTCCAAAAAGGACAGTAAAGTTGTAAAAATAATGTAATTGTTTTCATTATTTATGACCCATTATTCATGTGACTATGAGATGATGAATGCAGATGGAAGTACGGTACGCATAAGAACAGAAATGCCCTCTGACATGAAAATAAAATTGAATTCTAAAAACGAATTGAGAGAAAAGACTAAAAAATAGGCGCACAGATCTTGAGTAAAATCACTAAGAAGACATTTGTTGCCAAATTTCTTGCTCCTATTCAACACACTCTCTTCTCTAAAACCACAATGGGCAACATAGCAACAGTGGTTTTTGACAGAGATGCCCTAATTGTCCAACACAATAACAATCAAACTGCTGTTCTTTGTACTAGCATGAAGGAATAATTTAAAAGTGGAAAACAGATAATGTTTTGTGTATTAAGACAGTAAAGACAGTAAGGGTACCTTCGTTTTGACTAGAAATAGGATAGAATAGGAAGGAACCACATGGTTTCATAACACAACAAGAAGGTTATTTGTGGGAAAATCATTCCAAAAATTAGATCATGGTGAATACAAAAATAGACGGAATGATAACAAGTGACAATAGAATTAATAATAAA